TTAGTAAAAGAAAGATAAGCCAGCAGCCCTCAGACCTGAGAATCAGCCCATCAAGAGCTGTCTTTCAGATCACAGTACTCAGAGAGGGACATTTATCCCTCCAAACCTTTCTAGGCTGTGCAAACTTGGTCAAGCTCCCTAACCTCTGTGCCTCAGTTTCTGTATTTGTAAGTTGGGGATGACAATAGCACTTGCCTCCTAGGATAAGAGTATTTTAAAGAGTTACTACTTGTAATGGACTTAAACAGTATATGGAAGAAAATAAATGTTTAAAGATAAACATTTTTCCATGCGTCTCAGATGAGATGAGTTTGCAGGTGCCCTACTGAAAAAAAAAGCAGGCAAGCTAAAAAAAGGAAAATAGATAAATTTATTTTTCTTTACTCAGTGATGACAGGAGAAAAATATATTGGCTACTGGGATGGCTAGGATATTCTCAATAGAACAAGAGGAACAAAATTTAAAGGAAATACTCAATGGGCCTGTTTTCAGAGCAGTGTTTCATAGACTCAGGAATCTTCAGCTTATGAGACATTTTTATTGTATGTTTTCATGTTGGTACTATAACATATCATCTATGTATTATAATAGATATGTTAGGGTTGTCTGGTCAACCACCTTATACCCAAGGACTGGGGAGCAATGTTGGTCCACATTGGGAGTCTGGGAAAATGTTTTCTGTTAAAAGAAATTGGTTCAGGGCTCACACATGAGAATATTTGCTCTTGAGAGTAAAAATACTCCTTCCAATAGCAGTTTATGTTTTTACAAGAAAAATTGAGATAGCATGTCCAGTGTTTAAGGTTTATATTCCTTACATGAAACTGAAGCAACAATTCATTGAATAGAGTATCTTTCAGTGAGCTCTGCTTCTGATTCTGGCCTGAATCCCGAATATTGTATGTTGGGGCATCCCCATTATCTTAAATCCAGAAAAGGAGATATTTGATCTTGTACACTGTGCAGACTGAACAATATTAGGTAATGATATCACACATAGTAATCATTTGAATGGCTAAACATTTTATCTCTTATAGATACTGTGAGTTAGCCATCTATTCAAAAAATTCTATTTTTTCCTGTTACATATTTCATAGACATGGAAACATGAGGCAATGAATATTTTATTTTTATTATTATTATTATTTTTAAAAGATTTCATTGGGGAATTGGGGAAGGGGAACAGCCAAGTTGTTGTCCTTCAATCTTAGTTGTGGAGGATGCAGCTAGCTCAGCTCCAAGTCTAGTCACCATCTGGCTGACTGGTGGCAGCTCAGGGCAGCTCAGCTTAAGGTGCCGTGTTCAATCTTAGTTGTGGGTGGGTGCAGCCCACCATCCCATGTGGGAGTCGAACCGGAAACCTTGCTGTTAGGAGTATGTGATCTCACCAATTGAGCCATCCTGCCACCTGTTGGCAGCTTAGTGGCAGCTCAGCTCAGACACAGCTCACTGGCCCATGTGGGAATTGAACTGGTGACCCTGTTGCTCAGATCTTGCGCTCTTAACCAACTGAGCCCCTCGGCTGGCCCGAGGCAATGAATATTTTAAAGTAGACTAGTTTTTATAGAAATGTTACATCCTCCTGATTCAAATGGCACAGGGTATTGTTCTAAGAATAAAGCAAAACATCCTTATTTCCTAACATCCTAAAGTAATGATTGAACATGCTCTTCTGTATCCTGGTGTTTCCCCTTAAAACAATGTCCTGAACATTTTTACCCCCTTTTCTCTCTCTGAATATATATATATATATATATATTCAGTCATTTAAATTATGCATATACTATATAAATTATATATAATAGATAATAACATATTACATATGCAATATATTATACATAATATAGATATATAAATATGCACATGCTCATATACAAATATAGGCATAATTATATAATATAATACTATATGTAATATGTATAATATGTAGTATATTAAATATTATATAAATATGAGTGATTGAAATGACTGAATAATATTCCATTTGGTCATGTACATAATTGTCTTTATCATGCCCATGGTCTACTTTTATGTAATATTTTTGTGTTTGTGTGTTTTGTGCACTGTGTGTTTGGGTATGTGTGCTTTTGTGTGGCTATTTAAAGAATACTGAACTGAGACTTCCTGAGAAAACAGCTCCAGATTGTGTAACCATCTCGAGGTCGTTTCCAAAATGGGTTTGTTGAGTCAAATGTGACCCACATCTTATATTTTGAGACATGTTGCAAACTGTTCTCCAGAAATTCTGCACAACTGATGTTTCTGCCAACTTCTTCCTCTGACTCAACTGCAGCTGGTCAGCTCCTGCAGCATCTGTGCTGCTACGTTCTGTAGCTCTAAAATCTGCTCTTTTCTTCCATGCCTGTGACCTAATCTGGGTTCAGACCTGACCTTTTCTGACATTGCTTCTACACATGGACTCCCCTTTCCTCATTCTCCTCCCTTCCAGTACCAGCTCCACTGTGGTCTCCATGGAGATCTTCCTCAGACACAGCTCTGATCTGCACGGTTTCATTGAACACTCCTCCTTGATTCCCAATCCCCTTTTCTATAAAATCTGTGGAAAGTAACCTCACAGGGTGATCTGATCATCAGTTTATAACTGGGCTGGTCATGGTGAATACACCCCAGGTATGTAACTTTATGGTAAAAGGCTTATCTTTGCCTTAAGTGGCCCTGTTCATTGTTTCTGTGCATCCAGGTTAGTACATAAGCTGTAACCACCCTCAACAGATCATAGAATTTTAACTATCCTGTAATCCAATCCATGCCTTGCTTTCCCCCACCTTCATGTAATCTTCCTTACATTCCCTCCTTAATTTCAAATACATAAAAGAAGCTGCAGAACTGTTTTTCTCTGGAGCATTTGAGAGCCTGCTTTCTGGCAATTGTAGTAAAACTTGGCTCAAATAAACTCATAAAAACTCTCTATAGGTCTGGATGTTTCTTACATTGACATTATATACATTTTACCACTAAAAACTGTGTAAAAATGTAAAATGTAGGGGTTGTACAAAAATATGTTGTTTTCCAGATGTGGCCCATGGGCAATAATTTGCCAATTCCTGCACTAGACAGCAAACTTTTGACAAGAGGAATGGTTTTAGGAAGTTTACTGTGCACCGAGGCTGTAACATAAAACCTGGCACCCAAGAGGTTTTAAATATAATATATTTGTTTCATTGATGAAATCTTACAAAAAATTACCCTATTCCTTTCCCAGTAACTTTTGAGGGTCTTGGGAATTGCTGGGTAATGATAGGAGAGATTCTGCAACAGATTGGGTGGTAATCTTGAGGTCTCCAGATTCAGGGGCAGCAGGACCTTCTGAGTAATGTGGATCTCCTCAGCCTGGCTGATGGTCTTAGATTTGGAAGCAGTGATTCCAAAGGAGGGACCTTCCAATAGGCAGCTCTAAGTTCTGTCCAAATTCATGGCTTATCTTAGGGCAAGTGTTTCATACTCGCTGATCTGGGTCTGCCTGGGCAAGAAGGAGGGTGTCCCAGCTGTCCCCTGGGTGGGGACACTGAAGGTCAACTGGGAATAGGTGACCTCCTTTGGATCTTCAGAAGCCTGAGGAAGGAAGGGAGAATATGATATGGTGGTGAGATGTGGGGGACCAAGGGGTTATTGGGGGGTCTAGTAGTGGGGGAACTCTTACCTGTCCATCCATTGGTTCAGCTGCCTCTGGCTGTTCGTCTGTCCTGGTAGCATCTGGAGGGAAAAGGAAGTTATGAGGGATTGTATACTTGAGTCTTCTCCTCCAATCCATGTGCTGAAACCCTAACTGCTTATGTGATCGTTTTGGGAGGTGGTGCCTCTAGCAGGTGATTAGGTTTAGATTTGAGGTCATGAGGTCATTATGAGGTCATTATGAGGCCATTATGAGGATTAGTGTCCTTCTAAGAACAGACCAGAGCCCCAGCTCTCTCTCTCACTGCCACCCTGTGAGGACACAACAAGAAAGTGGCTATCATGGACCTCCCAGCCTCCAGAACTGTGAGAAATAAATATTGTTGGAGGCTTCTGATCTATGGTTTTTTTGTTACAGCAGCCAGGATGGACTAAGATAGAGGTGGTCATGTTTTTACCCAGGCTGCTGTAGATTTCCCTAGCCTCATCTTTTGATTTCACAAATAAGAGCCGGAGCTCAGGAAGGTACTGTAGTCACAGCTTGAGTCAGCAAACCAGACCATGCCTCTTCCTCACCCCCTTTCCTGCCTTCAGAAAATGCCACTCCCCATCTCCTGATTTGCAATACTGGAGTCTCTGCCAGGCTTCCCTCCCCCTCTCAAGGACATACTGTTTTTAGCTTTGAAATGTCAGAGGATGAAGAAGAGGAGGAGGAGGAGGAGAAGAAGCACGATGGCCACTGGGAAGCCAATCAGAAAATGCTGGTGTTTCTGGGTTTGGTCATATGGTGGGGCTGCAAAGGAGGAAATAGTGTTGAAGCAGCTGCCTTTATAAAGTACCTTCACACAAGGCACAATTTCTGTGCGCTCTCCGACCCCCATCACAATCTCAAATTGTTGACCCTTGTAAACAATAATATAAACAGAACCACTTTAAAATGGAGTCAGAGCTGCCATCCAGAGGAACTGCCTTGCATGTCTTACTCTTCAAACCTTTGGAATGTTAAAACAGGGCAAACTAACCTTTGGACTGGACCTAGGCAACCTTGTGTCCCAAAGAAGTGTTTGTCCCAAAGACAACACGAAAGCAGATATTCTGACCACCAGATTGATGACTACTACAATGAAAATTAAAAATATTGTTTAAAATTTTAGCATCACTATGTTATGTTATCTGCACCAACAGAAATGTCTTGCTTCTGTTGATGCAATTGTTCCCCTTCCCTTGCCTTTGCCTCCTAATTGGAACATTATTTGGGCTTCTGCCTGAATTAATGATTCCAAAATATCTATTCTCAATGATCTCAGTAAATGCTTGTTGCCTCTCACTTTGAAAGGTCTTTCATTTCTAGGCTATCACACTGTTTCTTTTTTTTAATTAAAATTTATTGGGGTGACAATCGTTAGTAAAATTACATAGGTTTCAAGTGTACAATTCTGTAATACATCATCTCTATATCACATTGTGTGTTCACCACCCAGAGTCAGTTCTCCTTCTATCACCATATATTTGGTCCCTTTTACCCTCATCTACCACTCCCTTCCCCCCTTACCCTCTGTTAACCACTAAACTATTGTCTGTGTCCATGAGTTTTTGTTTCTGTCACAGTGTACCAAAACTAACTCAAAATGGATCAAAGACCTAAACATAAGACCTGAAACAATAGACTGCACAGAAGAAAACATAGGTACTAAACTTATGGACCTTGGGTTAAAAAATAATTTTATAAATTTGACCTCAAAGGCAAGGGAAGTAAAAGCTAAAATAAATGAATGGGACTATATCAAATTAAAAAGCTTCTGCACAGCAAAAGAAACCGTCGACAAAATAAAGGGGCAGCCAGCTGAATGGGACAAGGTATTTGCAAACAGTGCCTCCAAAATGGGGCTAATATCTAAAAAGTACAAAGAACTGATACAACTCAACAACAACAAAAAACAAACAATCCAATTAAAAAATGGGCAGAGGACCTGAATAAACATTTCTCCAAAGAGGACATACAGATGGCCAATACACATATGAAACAATGCTCAACATCACTAATCATCAGATAAATGCAAATTAAAACCACAATGAGGTATCACCTCACACCAGTTAGAATGGCTATCAACAACAAGACAAATAATAACAAGTGTTGGAGAGGCTGTGGAAAAAAGGAACCCTCATGAACTGTTGGTGGGAATGCAAACTGGTGCAGCTGCTATGGAAGGCAGTGTGTAGGTTCCTCAAAAAATTAAGAGTAGAATTACCACATGACTCAGCAGTCCCTCTCCTGGGTATCTACCCAAATGATCTGAAAACATTTATCTGTAAAAGATATATGTGCTCCGATATTCATTGTAGCTTTGTTTACAGTGGAAACAACCAAAGTGTCCTTCGATAGATGATTGGATAAAGATGATGTGGTATATATACACAATGGAATACTATTCTGTCATAAGAAAAGATGAAATTGTGCCATTTGTGACAACATGGGTAGATCTTGAGATTATTATGCTAAGTGAAATAAGCCACACAGAAAAAGTCGAGAACCATATGATTTCACTTTTGTGTGGGATATAAAACTGAAAGCAACAAAGGAAAAAGACAAACTAATATCACCCCATTTCCTGGAAAAGGGGAATGAGCTTTGACCACCTCATTTGCTTGGTCCATGAAATCATAGATAAGGAAGAACTTGGAAGGAGTAATTTGTATCAATATAGAGATTAGCTGTTTTTGTGTGGCTCCTGCACTTAGGTTGAACTTTTACATTTTTAAACTATTGACACAAATTGAAAGAATAATAATATTTCGTGACATGTGCAAAGGATCTGAAATCCAAATCTCAGTGCCCATACATTATGTTTTGAGGTAACACGGCTGTGCTCACTCACTGCCGTAAGTTGTCTCTGAAGCTTCTGTGCTGCAAAGTTAGAGCTGAGTAGTTGCAAAAGAGACTAGAAGTCCACGAAGCCCAAAAACACTTACAGTCTGTCCCATTACAAAAAATATTTTCCAACCCCTGGGGTAGAGGGAGAACAACTCAGGAAAGAGCCAGGAGAGATAAATCAATTTGGGGAATATAATCAATAATGTTGTAAAGATTTTGTAGGGTGTCAGATGGGCATCTGTCTTTTAGGGAGATCACTTCATGGACTGTGTAGATGCCTGACCACTGTGCTATGCACCTGAAACTGAATAATGATAAGACAGGTAAAGAGTTAACAGGAGCGGACTTCTTAGCTGGTAGGATGGGACAGGCAAGGAGTTAACAGGAGCAAGCTTGTGGGCTAACAGGAATGAGCTAAACATTAACCGCTTGGCTCTGAATCCTCTGGCTAGCACTGCACCTGCAAGCTGACAAGCATGTTACAGCCATCATAGGTGGGAACAAAATAGTTCCCAATTGCAGCGGCAACTCCCTGCACACTAACAAACACCCATCATAGATGGGAACAGAGCGGTTCCCAATTGCAACAGCAATCCCCTACAAACTGACATCCATCATAGATGGGAACAGGACAGTTCCCAGGAGAAGACAATTGTAACGGCAGCCCACCTGCACGCTGATAAGCACCCTACTCCCTCCACGGAAAAATATAAAACCCCAGCACTCTTTCTCATCTGTGCAGCTGTTCCCTATAGGACTCTGCCCTGGCTAACCTCCTGCCAGTATCTCTGTCTTACCCCTCTGTCTCCACAGCTCTCCCTCTCAGATGGCCCTGGCAAAACTTCTGCCAGTTCCAAACAGAACTCTCTCTTTTTGACTTTCAATAAATCTTGTTTACTTTGTAGAGTCTTGTAAATTCTTTTACATTCCGTGAATCACCAGGATTTAATTCTATGCCAAGACAAATAATATTGAATGTCAACTATAATTTAATATCTATATAGTCACAGGATGTGGAATACAGCATAGGGAATGGAGTCAATAGAATTGTAACAGCTATATACAAGGTCAGAGGGGTGGTAGATTGGGAGAGGGTGTTATCACTTTGTGAGGGGTGTAAATGTCTAATTATTACATTGTTTTGTACACCTGAAACTAATTAAAAAATCATTTAAAAAAAAAAAGACCCATCCATGTGGTTGCCTAAAAAAAAAAAAAGGAGTGTGAACTGACTCTGGGTGGTGAGCACACAATATCATATATAGATGATGTATTATAGAATTGTACACTTGAAACTTATGTAATTTTACTAACCATTGTCATTCGAATAAGTTTAATTAAAAAAAAAAGAGTGTGAAGATAGTAAAGATCTCAGATCAAGAGTTAAGCTGTTATGAAACTGACTCATAGATACCGAGAATAAACTGATGATTGCTGGATGGGAGGGGGGTTGGAGGGGTGGGTGAAAAAGGGGGCGGGATTAAGAAATACAAATTGGTAGTTACGAAATAGCCATGGGGATGTAAAGTACAGCATAAAGAATATAGTCAATACTATTATAATAACTATGTATAGCGCCAGTTGGGGACTAGACTAATTGGGGGATCACTTCATAAATTATACAAATGTCTAACCACTATGCTATACACCTGAGACTAATATGAAATAATATTTGATATCAACTGTAGTTGGAAAAAATCAGGTGGGAAAAAATAATTCAGCTGTTATATCAAAATTTGTGGGTAAAGTATGCATTTACATCACACAAATGCAGCTGTAGACAACACTACATGTAAAGAATTCTTTATGTGTTGGCTAGATTCCAGTAAAGGTATCATTAAAGGATGCTAGATTCCAATAACACTATTTTTTTTTAACCAAATAAGCAGTGAACTGGATTTAGCCCTTGGGCCATAGTCTTCCAACCCCTGTTCTATCCACCTCTTACTTTTTTTTATCTCAGAAGATTTTGTTTGCTTGGATGTTTGTGTTTCCCCTTAGGATTTCCTTCTCAGTCTACCTACAGTATCTGGATTTTTTCATGTACTTTCTTTGCGATCTTTATGCTCATCAATTCCACACCTGCATCCCCAGGCCTGCACCCTTCTAGTCAAGGCTTAGAAAGCTAACTTCCCACTGCACATTTGCCCTAGAATGATGCATGGCCAACTCAAAAGCAACAAGTCCAAGATGAAACTCCTCATTATGCTTCCCCTCTCAGAAACTCCACGTGTGTCTATTTCTCCGTGACTCATCCCCCGCTACACACACATCACAGGCACCGAAAGAGAAGTGACATGGGAATGTAAGCAAGTTCATATGAAATTATTCTCAGCATGTAGGAAGGGAGTGATGGTGGCCACAACCACAGAAGGTCTTGGCTCAGTAGTCTTCCTTAATCCTGTACAGAATTTGCTTCCACATATGTGAAGAAAATGAGGCTCGGAGGAGGGAAAAGGCTAGCAGGGGGACACAGTGATTTACTTGTAGAAATAGCTCCCATAAGTTTTGTGTCTTAAGTGCCATATAGGAATGAAAGCTCCTGAGAACAAGGTTATCTGATTATCTGTTATCTGGGGCTGATATAATGAATATCTGCCTATTGGGAGCAGAGTTCCACGGTGAATACTGTGAATCCTAGATGCCCTCTGGAACATTGGCAATAGGGATCGATGATGAATAATATCTATAGAACCTGCAGTCATTATTTTCAATCTACAGATCCTCTATCTTTCTGCTTTCCCTGGTGGAGAGCAGCCCCACCTTCTTATCTGTTTGTTCCCTTCATCTATTCATCAGAAGCCCTCTCTTAAAAAGCCAGATCTATCTCTGATATATAATCTTTCTGCTCCAAGTCTGAGAGAAGAACAAATGGAAACTTTCAGTTTTACACCTAAACCAGTTTCCATGTGGATGTCTGGGCTCTGTGGGTATGAAATAGTCAGGAGCTTCTGCAAATGGGAATGCAAACAACATCTCTGATAAGAGGCTAATACCCAAAATATACAAAGAACTCATACAACTCAACAACAACAACAATGAAACAATCCAATTGAAAAGTGGGCAGAGGACTTGAACAGGTTCTTCTTTCTTCTCCTTTTTCTCCTTCTCCTCCTCCTTCTCCTCCTCTTGCTTCTTTTTTTCTATTTTTTATTTTATTATATTTTAAAATTAAAGTTTATTGGGGTAAAAACTGTTAGCAAAGTTACATAGATTTCAGGTGTACAATTCTGTAATATATCATCTATATATTATATATCACATAAAACTAAAAACAACAAAAGAACAAGGAAAACAAATGAAGAAACAAAACTCATAGACACAGATACTACTAAGACATGAAATGAGGGGAGTTTCTTCCTTTCTTCCATAGGGACCTTTTTAAAGTTTTCCACCCAAGTTACTCACCAGTGGAGCATCTGGGCTCTGAGGGATCAGGATCATCGGGAGCTTCTGCAAATGGGAACAAAATGGGGTGGTATCTTTATCTCAGCTCAGGCTCTCTCTCCCCACACCCACAATGACCAACATACCCTTTCCAGCCCTGGGGCGTGTGGTATGAGGGCTGCATGGTGGGTGAGGGGCAAGTCTTCAAGCTCGGAGTCTAGGCAGATGGTGCTGACTCCGCCTCTCCACCCCGCTGTTTGCCCTCTCCCAATCACTGCTTTAAGTGGAAAGCGTCTGTCTCCAAGAGGGGACATAGGGATAGATGGGCTGGAGCTTCCTCACCTTTGGCCACAAGCTGTAACTGGTCACTGGGGTGAGACCACACATAGGGGTCATTGCAAAAGGCACCATAGCATCTCTAGGTCCCCATCTGTGTGGAGGTGGGGTCCATGTGGAAGATGGCCTGGTGTCCATTGCGCTCAGGTGTGGAGTAGCTTAGGTTCTGGGTAATGTGAACTCCATCTTCTTTGATGAGAATAAATACATCAAACCTGATTTTGGAGAAACACTGTAACTGCACATTGTCTCCTGAAGCCACCACAGTGCCAGTCATGCTTGAGAGGGAGGGTTGGTCATAAGCTCCTGAGAAAGAAGGAAGTTTGGTGATAAAGGGGAGGCCACATAAAAGTGCTGTCTCTTTTTGTTCCCTGGGAGCAGACATGGCTCTGGTTTGTCCCACCCTGAGGAAATCTGACTTCCTTATCCCAGATTCCTTCCTAGGTATAGAGGCTTTGCTACTTTGTGCTTTGTATCTGAAAGCCTGAGTTTGTCCTGGCTCTGCTCCCTCTGTGTCTCACTCACCGGTCATCACCAGCTGCAGGGGGTCACTAGGCTGAGACCACTGGCCTCCACTCTGATAGGAACAGTGGTACTGCCCTGCCCAGTCTGGTGTCAACTCTGGGATCCTCAAAGGGCAGGTCTCCTTAGGCAGTGGTAATATACTGTCCATGGGCTCATGACCTCCCACTTTAGATATGTTGCATACTTCAGCTTCTGGAATTCCTTGGCACAAGATGGTAACAGAATCCTTAGATAGAACCATGGATGCAGGTTCAGCTGTGATATTAGGTCGGGGGAGATTTCCTAGAAGAAAGGAAACAGATAATAGGCATACAGGTGTATCTGTACTCACACCATCCTCCACTTTCTCCCCTCTTACAGCCACTGGTCTAAACACTGAGCCTTCTCTTCCCTGCCCCTGAGAGAGCTGATATCTGGCCTAAACCCTCCTTAGTCCTTGGGAGTATTGAAGGGAACACTCACCCTCCTGTGCCTGAGTGCTCTGTCTTATATACAACCCTGGAAGGAAACACCGGATGAGAAGAGCCCAGCCTTAGAGAACCAACCTGCCCCCTGTAGCCTTGTGTTTGCACCGCGACCCTCCTCTCCCAGACTCACTGAGATAGAGCAGAAAGGGAAGAACCACGGACATGATCCTGGGTCCTAGAGGCCCACTGGCCTCAGCAATGCTGCTTGTATGAAAACACAGACTTCTGTGAAAAACACTGAGGAAGTTGTGGGATGGCCTCTTTCTCACCCCTAGTTGAAGGCATTTCACTTCTTCACCATTGGTGGGGCTTGCAGATATAACTGACACCACAAAGATATTTAGCATCTGAACTTCAAACTACCATCTGCCCAACTTGGTCCCAATTCCTGTGCCTAATTCCTAATGAGTATTTAAACTTTCTATATAAAATGAACAGTAAGAGAGATGACAGGCAATGAACAGGACAGAAGTAGATCCCAGTCTGAGATTTGCTCTGAAATACCATGTGAGTTCACAGCTCTTGCTGCTAAACTCTGAGCTTTCTTCTCTTTAGGTACAAAATGGGGCAATGATACTGAGTTTCTGGAAAGCTATACTCACAGTATGTGCATTGTCCAGAATAGGTACTGTGAGGAAGCCAATGGCATAATTATCAGTTCCTTGCCTTCTGTCTATATTCCCAACATGTTAACACTGATTCTGTCCATGCATGTAAATGATGAACTTAAACAAGGTATTTTCACTGGGTTTTGTCACATCTTTTTTCTTAAACCATTACTCCGACTGATCCTTCCTGAGCAGCTATGCTGTCTGCTCTTCTCAATATACATGTAAGTTTGATTTAAAATCTTCCCCTTATTGCCCCTGCATGAGGCAATCTTCCACACAATGTGTCCAATTAGCCAAGGAAATGAGACCCCTGTGTTTATGCCTTGATTCATGACCTGGGCATAGTGCAGAGGTCGTAATTTCAGATATTTGCTGATGAGGAGAAGGGGTTTCCCAGTGCTGAGAAGATAATTGAAGGTTCCCCCTCAGAGAAAGAGGCTGACAGGTCAAACATGGTTAGATAGGACTTTCTTTCCCTGCCACTAGGGCAAAGCATCCATTTGTATTTCTCTTGTCTTTATCTGCCATCTACATACCTTTCTGTCATGTATATTTCTCAGCTATCTGCATCTATCTGTGTATATCTAATATCTATCATCTATCTTCTGTCCATCCATCCATCCACCCATCCATCCATCCATCCATCTCTCTATCTACCTATCTATCCACCCATCCATCTATGTATCTCCATCCATTAGAGCATCAAAAGAGAACCTTGGACCACAGCAGTACTATTTTCTGTGAGAACCATTTCCAAGCTCATTAATTACAATTTCTTTGCTCTCAAGCAATTTGGACTCAACTTTGGGAGGTAAGTCCATATGGTGGATTATTGCGTTCTCAACACACTCTCTGTTTTTGCATGGTCCCAGAACAAAGAACGAATTTTACATTTTAAGTGATTGAACAATGAACAGAAAATTAATATCTCATGTCCATTGAAAATAATTTGAAATTCACTATTTAGTGTTTTATAAACACAAATATATTAGAACACAGTGATGCTCATATGGTCGTTTTTGTACTACAACACCAGAATCAGGTGGCTCAAAGACTGAAGGACTCACAAAACCCCAAATATTTACTATTTGGCCTTTGCAGAAAAAGTAGTCAGTGAGAATGTGACAGTGACATCAAGCAGAGTCAGAGAAAGTGTTCAGAGAAAATACCATAAAAAAGTTATGCATATCCTGAAACTGAGAACAAAACATGGAATTACCTGAAGAAGGGAGGTTTGATGAGGGAACAGAAAGCCATTAGCAAAGAACCCTCAGAGATTCTGGTCATGTGGCCAGGTGACACTACAGAGTAAGTGACATAACAGTGTCCAGAGTGGTTTATGTCTGAGGGTGTTTATTATTTACTTAAGTAGATTGGAGCTAAGAAATACTTCCTTAACTGTAATAGCAGTCAGTTTTAGTATGTCTATGATTCTGTTTTACTTATTTATTATTTTTAAAAACGATTTTTATTGGGGAATTGGGAGAGGGGAACAGACACGTTGCTGTTCTTCAGTCTAGTTGTGAAGGACGTCGCTTCACTGGCCCATGTTGGTATTGTGATCATTGTGCTCTTCCCGGCTGAGGCAGATCTGTTGCCTGACAGCCGAATTCTATAAACATGTCCCCCTGCATTTAGCCTCTAATCCCATTAGCTAGGAGAGAAAAGCCTTGGTATGACCAGAGGCAGTAATCTCTCTGAGGGAGTGCCTCGGTATGACCAGAGGCCGATAAGACTCCCTCTGAGAGTGTCTCAAGGTATATTGGGACCTGTTGGAATGCTAACAGTTAATCTCCTCTGGGAGGACACAGTAACAAGGTGTCCTGGGGCTATGTGGTGGATATGTGAAGGCATAGCATACCCTGGAACATAATGGATATGTTAATAGATAAGGCTTTGAGGCACAGACCTCAAACGGATGTTAATCTGATCAACAGCAGTTTTACTTCTCAATAAAAACCAAGCGTCGACCCGATTCGGTGGCTCAGTCTGACTCTCTGAAGGCTGAGTCCCTTGGTCTCACACTTAAATATTACTTCTGTCTCTGTCTCTTTTTATTCAATCTGCGTCGCCCCTCTCGTGTCCCATTTGCCCTTGCCACGCAGGACGTGACACAGATCAATTGCTGGCCATTTGACAGCCATTCACGCTGGCTGCCGGCCATTCATGGTAGCATACAGCAGCCCATTGCAGCCCCACTGCAGCCTATGCTGTCGCCGGCAACTCATGGCAGCCCAGCTCCAGGTCGAGCTGTTGTTCACCATCTTATCTGTAGAGGGTACAGCGTCACTGGTCCTCATGTGGGATCTGAACCGAGGCCCTGCTGCTCAGAGCTGGCGTCCCAAGCCAACTCTTAACCAACGCGCAACTCTGCTGGCCCTTGGTGTCTTTTTTAAATGCCTTCAAGAACTAAGTAGATTTTCTACATTTTTAAATGGTTGGGAAAATATCAGAAGAAAATTTCTGTTTTGTGATTCATAAAAATGATTTAGAATTCAGAATTTTGTTTTCATATTCAAAGTTGTATATACAAAGTTGTATATCAAGTCCATTCATTTATGTGTCATCTACAGTTGCTGAGGCTGAGAAGGATTTTTTCAGAACTGAGGATGTTTTGCTACAAAAGCAGAATTAAGTAGTCTCAATGGAGACCAAATGTTTTGCAGTGTAGTATTTGGCCTTTAAAGAAATTTGCTTATTCTTGCTGAGAATGACAGTGACAACCAGCACAGTCTGATAAGGCATTCAGGGAAAGCTACCTAGAAAAATTTATGCATATTTATAATTTAATGATCTTTAGTAAATTTGCCAATTTATGCAACCATTACAACAATCCAGTTTTAGAACATTCTGTAGCCTCAATAAGATCTCAAATTCCTATTTATAGTTTATCCCATTTCTACCTCCAGCCATAGGCAATCTACTTTGTGTCTCTATAGCACTGACTTTTTTGAAATATCATTTAAGTGGAATCATATGATAGGTGGTCTTTTGCATCTGTTTTCTTTCACTTGACATAATGTTTTCAAGGTTCATACATCTTGTAGCATGTATCAGTACCTAATTTTTTATTTTATTTTTATTTATTTAAAAAAATTTTTTTAGCTGAGCCATCCTGCCACCTGTTGGCAGCTCAGCGGCAACTCAGCTCGAGCCAGGCATTGAACCACTGTTGCTCAGAGCTTGCACTCTTGTGTGAGCTCTTAACCAACTGAGCCACTCGGCCAGCCCCCTAGTACCTAATTTTTAAAAATTTATTTTTATTGATGGATTGGAATGTAATTGACATACACATATTACACTGTGTAAGTTGAAGTTGTATAACCTTTTTTTTTTTTTAAGATTTTATTGGGGAATCGGGGAAGGGGAACACTGCTGGGGAATCGGGGGAAGGGGAACAGACAAGTTGCTGTTGTTTTGTTCTTCAGTCTAGTTGTGGAGGAAAAGTTGTATAACCTTTAGATTTGATACATTTGTATATTGCACTATGATTGCTACTGTAACATTAGCTAACACCTCCATCATCTCACATATTTACCATTTTTTTTGTGGTAAGAACATTCAATATCTACTCTCTTAGCAACAATCAAGTACATGATATCATATTGTTAATTATAGTAATCATTCTGTGCATTAGATCCCCAGAACTTATTCATCTTATAACTGAAAGTTTGTATCTTTTGACCAAGATCTCCCCCATTTCCCCTACCCCTATCCTGTGGTAATCACTATACTCTTTGTCTCTATGGTTTCAACTTTTATAGATTCCACAATACGGGTAAGTGAGGTCATGCGGTATTTGTCTTTTTCTGTCTGACTTATTTCACTTACCATAATACCCTCCAGGTTCATCTATGTTGTCACAAATGGCAGGATTCATAGAGCCTATTTCAAAGCAGTATATTTAGATGGTGGTTTTTAATTTTCCCTCTCAGATTGACAGTCCTGACTTGTCCATGAGATTCATCTGCCCACTTGCAGAGACCCATGGCCTGGCTTAGATGGTTTTAACAGCACTAGGCATTCTGTTGAACTATTTTTGATTGTGGCTTCTTATCAGTTAATCCAGTGCTCTTTTATGGCTATGTAGTTCCTCTTTTACATATTCAACCACCATTGCAGGCTATGTCTACCCTACCCAAATTCACTTATGCCAACAGAAGTCTGTCTAAATCCACCCCTCTCTCTTGTTACCCATGACTTACGTGAACTTGGGGAATATCACTCAGCATTTCATTCTCAATTTTTTCACTGATAAATGGGGATGTTAAGAGCACACATATCTCATAGGGCTATAGGAAGATTAAATGAAATAATGTAATACCTGCATCATGTTACGTATGAGTCCATGAATGTGTATGTGATCATTGTGCTTTCCAGTTGATTTTCTGAACTATAAAATATGTGTGCATGTGAATAGACAACTGTACACTTTAATTTATGCATTTGGTTATTTATTTATTTAATTAGCTAGCTAGTTATTTATTTTTTTTGTGCTTAGCTAATAGTTCAAGGCACTGGTTGTCATACCATCCTGTCTTGATTTGAATCCTGGGTCAGTCAATTATAATTCTCTAACTGAGCATTAGTTTATTTTTTTTT